TGTACTTCGTAACCGGTAAGGATGTCGGGATCATGGTTTCTTACGATTTCGACCATTCGAACCATAAGATCCAGTTCCGAATTTTCTTCAATAACCTCGGCATTTGTCTGTCGCTGGATACGCTTGGTAAACTCGGCGTCATTTGACAACAGCAGCATACCGGTTTGGACACCAGCCGAATCTTGACTGCCGGAAGCAATTCCATCAGACTTGATCGCCCAGAACACGCACTGAACTTCATCTTCTTCAGGATTCGGTACGAACTTCCCTCTGGTATTTACGTGAACCTCCAAACTCATGGTGCTCATATATTGAACCTCATGCTGGACACTAGTTGATTGCTTGCCTGGGGTGTACTTGAATCCGTGCTTGTTCTTTGGCGTGGGTCCATCGATCTGAGATTGATATTGCCTGGGAGTACATGGTATAATGGAGCCTTCCTTTGAATTTGCTCTGCGTTGCTTTTCTGCCCACCACTCCTCGACTTCTTGATATGTGGGCGGGGGGTTTGCAAGCTCCCAGCTTCTCAACGAGCACTTCTTCCTCTGTCGCTCATACCGAAGTTCTGCAGTAGTCTTGTCAAAGGTCTCAAATTTGAGTCCGTAGTTGGCTGGAGCTGTCCCTGTTGGGTCAAATTCAGGTAGAAAAGGCAGTGTGTTGCTCTCCAGTCGAAACTCCTTCCCAGCATATTCTCGCATCCGCCCAGGGACATCTTTTTCCCTGCTGTAATAAGCATCTTGGTAGATCACATCAGGAAGCCCGTATTCTTTCAAAGAGGAAGCCACAGCAGCTGCAGAAGGGGGCAGAGAAGAAACCAAGTGTACTTCAGGGCTGGCGAATCGACTCATGGCTCTCTGGATTTTTGACTCATGGCTTTCATCATCTCCTCGTCCTCCAGACGATTTCATGGAAGATGACAGAGTCATTTGAGACAACTCTGCTTCAGCAGGGAGAAAACTGCTGGGATCAAACGAGACATGCTTGTTGTGACGACCATCATCGGTCTGCTGAGAAGCAGACTTCTGGCTCATCTGACTGAGACGAAGCTTGGTGTTCGGATCATTCTGATCTTTGACCGTAGGGAAATTAAGCTTTTGGTTGGAGCCGGGAACACCTTTCAATACAGAGCCGGTATTTTTGTTAAGTGATGAAGGGCCTTTGAGGATGGAAGCCCCTCTGAAGGAGGAAGCGAGAATTTTGTTGGTGCCTGTTGAAGGAACGGGAACTAGGTCCATTTCATCTTCATCTATCATCGACAATTGATTGAGTCTTGTCCTTTTGTTCGACGCCTGAGATGATGGAAGATCATCCAGGGGTCGCTTCAGCTGGGTCAAGCTGGACGAGGTGAGAGTCGGTGCTTTCTCTGTCCGCCCGATAAACCCTTCGTTCTCTGCATAATCAAGGAACTCTTGGCTCACTGGGAGGTTAGGAAGCTCGCCAGTCACCAGGCCACTTTGACAGACCCCAAGGGCCGACCTCCAAAACGTCTTTTTATCGAATTTGTCGGGACTGATGTTGAGAGCCGCCGCTAGCTCAAGATCCTCTTCTGGTAGTTCTGTTGGTCTGCGAGAAACCTTTGCGGCAGCCTTCTCTATTGCGATGAGCGCCGCAATGGCCTCTTCATCGGAATCTTCAGGATAGAAGTCATTGTGTGCGTCCCCGGCCTGGCGAACTTTACCTTCATCGACGACAATACTGCTTCGCAGATCTTGCTCCATCTCCACGCCTAAGGGCAATCCTAATGCTGGTGCAAGTTTCGATGGGAAGAGGTCTTCAACTGACTCCAAAGTAGTGTTAACATGCTTTTCGTATGGATGTGGCTTGGCAAACTTTTCAAAAGTAAGCTCTTCCGAGTCGGCACCGAGCTTCTCTTCAGTGATAAGATTTCGGATCTCCGTTCTGAATTCTTCCTCATGAAGCCAGCCTTGCGGTTGAGAGTCGCGAGCGTTGGCTGACATTGACACAAGGACTTCTGGTGGAAATGGACTGCTGCCCTCAGTCGGATCTTGCATCTTTCGTTTGCGTCTCTTCGTCTCATCTTTCCACAGTCCAGCCATGCTGTAGACAAGCTTCAGGTCTCCGGGGAGGGGATTGGCTCTTTCCGTAAAGTCATGATGAAGAGGCCGCTCCTTGACCTTGTGTCGGTTGATAATATCCTGTACACATATATCCACTTCTATCGAGCAGTGGCTACTTCGAGGGAGCGTGGTTTCGTCGGTAATGTGATTCGCAGAAATTGATCGACTGTGCCATTTGTGCAATGAATTCGATCCCTGTTCGTATTCCGGGACTGGAGATCGAAATCGAGTAACGGATGCATCAAGATAATCGCACCCATATAAGTTGAAGTCTGTCATGAATTGAAGGAGGTACTGAAGGTGTGCTTCGTATGGCTGAAACTTGTTCTTCATAATCACGCCTTGCTGAAGAAGATCCGCCAATCTCGTCATGACAATGGGATTGAACATATAAATCTTCAAGAAGAAGCGATATCCCACGTGAAAGCCATAGAAGGGGACACCCTTGACAAGAGTGATCCTTGCCACGAACCTCGCACTGTCACCTTTCTGATCTCGTCGATAGCTGACGGCTAAGGCATGATCTATGGACAGATGAAATCGATATATATAAGCGCCAACTAGAACTTTTAGTACCGATAGATATTTACGGGAGTATACACAACGAACCTTCATCAGGACTTAAGCCTCCTTCATATTCCACGTACAAGTACGGGAATGCGCCGTGAATATGGGCGCATACTTTTTGTCCCGTTTCAGTAGATCCAAACACGCGAACCACAGGAACTCTGGGTCCCTTGGGTATCTGAGAGGGACGGATGTCGTTGCGAAGCTGGGGGTCATATCGCGAGGGGGTCGCTTGATAGTGATCGATACAGTTTAGTCTGACCCGGAACAAGTCCATATTCTCTGAAGTTTGGATCCATCAGGGGCTTATTACTGTTTATTAAGAACAAATGAGCTAAGCGTTGCTCAAAGAACTGTTCTCAATAAGCTCAATTCATTCTGAAGGTCTTTGTGTAACTTCGACTGCTTATGAGACGCGTTTTGCCTGGACACCAGCCTCTCACAGACGCGCGCGATCACGTGCCGATAAGAATGCTTATCTAAACAACTTTCCACTCTAAGCTCAGTGATGTGCGACGGATGCATCACCCGTTTTGACTTCTGAACATTTGACTCTGATTTTTTATCTCGCCGTGTGAAAGTCGCACGCTTCAATAGACGGCAGAGCTGCACATTAATCGCCATGCCTACTGCACCCGCAAAACCACCGCCCCCAAGTACCGGCCCTGGGGGCGCTGGTGCCGCTTTGAAGGAAGAGAATATCTACATTCCATCCTTCATCAGTAAACGCCCGTTCTATGCCGGCGAAGAGGGCGATGAGAATGACTACCTCCAGCATCAGCGCCGCGAAGAGAAGAACGACAAGTCACAATGGTATGATCGAGGTAGAAAGGCCGGCCCAGCGGCCACCAAGTATCGCAAAGGTGCTTGCGAAAACTGTGGCGCCATGACACACAAGAAGAAAGACTGCCTGAGTCGGCCACGAGCCAAGGGCGCAAAATGGACAGGCAGAGACATTCAAGCCGATGAGGTGATTCAAGATGTCAATATGGGATGGGACGCAAAGCGCGACCGCTGGAATGGGTACGATGCGAAGGAGTATCGCAGTGTGGTCGATGAGTTCAACCAGATGGAGGAGCTACGCAAGCAGGCCACCAAGGACGGAAATGCCGATGAAGAGACAGAAGAAGGCGACAAGTATGCGGAAGAGAACGATATGAGCAAACATCAGAGCACAGCAACCCGACAACTGCGAATACGAGAGGACACAGCCAAATATCTCTTGAACCTCGATCTAGAATCTGCCAAGTACGATCCGAAAACACGATCACTGGTCGATGCAGGTGCAACGGCAGACAAGGCAGCAGATGCATTCGCGGAAGAGGGTTTCATGCGATCCTCAGGCGATGCTGGCGCGTTTGAGAATGCTCAGCGATACGCCTGGGAGGCCCAAGAAAAGTCTGGTAACACGAGCCAGCATCTACAAGCAAACCCCACAGCAGGAGAGTTTTATCGGAAGAAGGAGCTGGAGGAGGCAGAGGCAAAACGTGCGGAACGAGAGAAGCTACTGCTCGAGAAGTACGGCGGAAATCAGACTGCTATGCCGGCTGCTTTGCGCAGCATGGCTATCACCGAATCTGAGACGTTTGTTGAGTACGACGAGGCTGGTTTGATCAAGGGTGCGCCCAAGAAGGCGGCCAAATCCAAGTACGCTGAGGATGTTCTTATCAACAACCATACTTCAGTATGGGGAAGCTGGTGGTCCAACTTCAAATGGGGTTACGCTTGCTGTCACTCGTTCATCAAAAACAGTTACTGTACTGGTGATGATGGAAAATTGGCATGGGAGGCGGCTGAGCGTCAACGAACCGGAGCCAACCTGGTAAATGACGATGAAGAGGAGACAGAAGAGCCTTCAAAGGAGGAGGCGGAGAAGAACAAAGAGGAAGAGCAGCCGCGCAAGCGGACGAGGGAAGAAATGATGAACGGTGTGACGGAAGAGGAAATGGATGAGTATAGGAGGAAACGGACGGTAACGAACGACCCAATGGCAAAGCTGCTGGGCAAGGATGAACTTTTATTATAGCGATGCATTACTAGTTTACTACAGATAATTACAACACTATTACATACCATGGGCATCGTATATATGGAGATAGCTACATTGACATTGAAATATTCACGGCAAATGAAGATTATGGGTGGATGTCGTGATTGGATTCATGTTTCATGAGATTCATGTACACAGGTGGAGAGACACCGGGAAATTTTTGTTTGTCGTTATCCGGTGAAATCATTCCATTTTTATCCTCTGGCCAACGCCGCAAGCTATGAAGAGAATCCCCTTCCCATGAGTGGTATTCCATCACCAAGTGCCCTAGACAGGGGGAATCGTTTTTGCATTTTTGGTTGCATTTACTCCTCGTCTTCCTCGTCCTCACCACCCTCACCGCCGGCAGCGGCAGCGGCCTTCTTTCTGCGGACACGGCCGGGACGGCCACCACCGAAAGGCGAGGTAAGAGCGAAGTCGATGTGCTTCTGGGAGTCGAGACGGACGATGAAAGAGGGAACGTTGACGATCTGCTTTCCGACTCGGATGTGACGCTGGCGGATCAGAACACGGGCGTGGTGGATAGACTTGGCAAGACCGAGCTTCCAGACACAGGTCTGAAGACGGCGCTCAAGGAAATCCTCGATCTTAAGAGCCAGGACGTAATCGAGCTTCATGCGGGACTCGTCAAGGACACCGACACGGACAAGACGTCGAATGAGGGCATTGCCTTCGAAGAGACGCTTGGGGTCCTTCTCGTCGAGGGTAAGAAGCTGACTGTGCAATTGGTTAGAAAACTCTTCCTCATCAGCGCACACAAAAAGTGCAAAGGTTCACATACCGGGCAGCACGACGGATCTTGGACAGAGTCAGACCGACTCGCCAGACCTCACGCTTGTTGCGCAGGCCATACTCGCCAACGAGCTTCAACTCGGAGTCACTATTGTTATTCGGTCAGTCTTCATTCACATACGACTTAAACAGAGACAAGCTCATGTTCAGTGGCCGGTGATACTGACAGTCGGGCAGACTCGAAGGGTCGGCGGGGGACACGAGAGGTCTTGGAGTGGGCGCGGGGAGGCATCCTGAAGACTTTGTTAATTGATATCCTCTGGCGATGCACTCGTGGCGGCGGTGATATACTCACTTGACTTGCTCCTTGGGTGTTCTGCGGGAGTTGAACTTTCTCGCAAGACACGAATCGTAGCAAAATGTGCGGACAGAAATTTGGTGGAGCTCGATCTCGTCACGTGCCTAGTTTCGAACCCTAAGATTTTTTTCCACTTTGGAAGGTGCAACCCACAATCGCCCTTGCCCTACCTGGAAAACTTTCGGAAAATCAGAGGACCCGCTCCCACAAGGCCGCCTTCGAGACGAGAAATCCACAACACCAAAGCGAAGGACTTCACCATCTCTTTCGCCAACCACGACTACTAACCCCAACCCGACCGGTACCGGCATATCACATTCGAGATGGGTCACTCCTACGGAAAGAGAGCGGGCACCCGCGTATGTTCAACCACCGATTCCTGCGAGAATGAAAATTCGACGACGTCGGCATGAGACTGACGATGTGAAATTTTTAGTATGCCTTCAGCCGGGACTTCCGCAAGAAGGGTATGATTGCCCTGAACACCTATCTCCGACAGTACCGCGTTGGTGATATCGTCGACATCAAGGCGAACGGTGCCGTCCAGAAGGGGTAAGCAGAGCTCCCTTTACCATCATGCGACAATACACGCGAAATTGCGAGACTTGGACGCTTTTTGGAGGAATTCCTGTGGGCATTGGAACAGGAGGGCTAACAATGGTCACAGTATGCCCTTCAAGGTGTACCACGGCAAGACTGGTGTCATCTACAACGTCACCAAGTCTGCTGTCGGTGTCATCATCTACAAGCAGGTGAAGCACCGATACATCGAGAAGCGAATCAACGTCCGAATCGAGCACATCCAGCAGTCCCGATCTCGTGAGGACTTCCTCAAGCGAGTCAAGGCCAACGCCGAGGCCAAGAAGGAGGCCAAGGCCAACGGTACCGTCGTCCAGGTCAAGCGTCAGCCCGCTGGACCCCGTGAGGCTCACACACTGTCGCTCGCCGACAACCCTCCTCAGACCGTCACTCCTCTTCCCTACGAGACTACGATCTAAAAGAAAAGATATTGCGGGGTTGGTGGTGCTGGCTTCTATTTACCTGGGGTATTGCGTCCGGATGGGAAACTCTGCATGGCAAGGGCTTGCATTTTGATGTCCATAGGCAATGAGACCGAAAAAAAGACATCGTTTGAAGCATGCCGCTGCCTGTATTTGAAGATACCTTCAGTGAAATGTGCCTGGTCCATATATTGGGCATGGCGTCTGCTTGACGTATGAATGAACTGGCGTTTCTCCCTCATTCATTCCATGTGATTAACCAAAGTCGTTTTTAAACTATTGAGCTGCGCAGTGGACGCCAAGTACAGTTTCACTGGATTGACAGCGGTCATATCATTGTTCATCAGGTTAGGTCACCTTGTAATTCGAGTCCTTGTCACACTGTACTTGTAGTGATTGCAGTTTGTGATATTGGAGACGTTCAATATGATTCAAACCTGCCGTTTTTGAGCATCCATTCAATTTTTGCAATTCGCTTACCCTGTACCTCTACGTGATCTATTGGGAATATCATTGTCATATTTTTCAAATGTCCAGCCTAACTCGTAGGGCAAATAACTTCGCTCGACATTTCTCTTCAAGCTTTGCGTCGAAATAACAGTCGAGACTTCTGTCAATGAGGCCATCAGAAGTAAATTTCTTCTCGGTTGTGTTTATTTCCATATCGAAAGTTCAGAATAAACCTGTCGTGAGGATGCAGTATAGGTACACATGGTAGGCTACTGAAGAAGCCGATATGCGTTGTTGTTTGATTACTGAGAAAGATTTATTTTGTATACCGAGTATTATAATGTAATAGGTAACCTTTTCAGAGATCTACATGAATAGAGTAGACCTTGTGAGCTGCAAGTGTTCCATGAAACTCCAAGCTGGTATGTCCCAAGAAGTGTGGGAGATGGATCTTGAAATAATTACAAGTGGGGGCGTCGCTGAAGCATGACCACTTATGTGAATGATCAGAGCTGAATGATGTTTTCTCCAATTATATGAAAATCATGAAATATTCAAAAATAAGGAGTATTTATGGTAAAATTTAGTAAACTTTAGATGATATGCTCATGAATAGTCTAAACTACCTAGGTACGAGGTATCATCAAAAGTTAACTTTAAAATTTGCAGGCTTCTTAGACATTCACATACAATATTTCTCCAGCCAAGCTCTCAAGATACACATCTACATGGAATAAAACAATGCAAAACGGGGATATACATCAATCAAGCTTTCATTGTCAGTTGATGCCACAAAATCGTGTCTTGAGCCTTTCAAAGTGCTCATCTAAGTTGGATACCTAATTTGGCCACCAGTTCAAGGAAGCTCACTCACTGAATCTTCAACAGCCGTGCCCCACACAACGGACGATACGTACCCCGTATGACGCTCCTCTCTTGGCTCTTGCGGCCCAGCCACTGAAGCTACTACGACATCCGTCGAATCGCAGAGACGAGCCACGCCCAAGAGTCGCCCAAGATTTGTCAAGGCTGACGACGACCGCGAATACTCGATCTACAGTCGCATCCTCACCAACCTCAGTCCCTTGATCTCTCTAACCATCCTTTCGTTTCCTACGGTTTACTCTCTGCCTAATCTCCTAAGCTTGCGCGGCGTCGGCTTGACTGGGAAATTGTCTCGTGATTTCCAGGGGCTACTATAGCATCGCCAAAGACCTGAGCAACTTTTCTTGCGCAAACATCTTTACCCATTATATAATAATAGCGTCGCGGAGCTTGCTTGCCACCAATTGCAAACATGGCTGCTGCTGTGCGCGGCACCGAGCATACCAAGTCAGCGACACCGTCACCTTTCATGACTGCCAAGCTAACCCCATCATCGTGCGCAGAACCGACCAAGAGCTCGCTATTAACATCAAGAAGGCTACGAACGTCGAGGAGATCTCTCCAAAACGAAAGCATGTCCGAGCATGTATCGTCTATACATGGGACCACCGGTCCTCCGCCGCCTTCTGGTCCGGCATCAAGGTGTACGTCTCATACGTCCTCATCATGACAACTCACGCTGATCGACCATCAACAGCCAACCTATCCTAGCCGACGAAGTCCAGACATTCAAGGCCCTGATCACGATCCACAAGGTGCTCCAAGAAGGCCACCCCAGTGCTCTCAAGGAGGCAATGGCAAACCGCGCATGGATCGATAGTCTGAACCGCGGAATGGGCGGAGGAGGAGAAGGCATGCGCGGTTATGCCCCTCTGATCCGCGAATACGTTTATTATCTACTTGCAAAGCTCTCCTTCCACCACCAGCACCCCGAGTTCAACGGAACATTCGAGTATGAGGAATACCTGAGCTTGAAGGCCATAAACGACCCCAACGAAGGCTACGAGACCATCAGCGATCTGATGGTGCTGCAAGACAAGATCGAGCAGTTCCAAAAGCTGATCTTCTCACACTTCCGAAACGTTGGAAACAACGAGTGCCGAATTGCCGCCCTCGTGCCCCTCGTTCAGGAGAGCTACGGAATTTACAAGTTCATCACCAGCATGCTGCGCGCAATGCATTCAAGTCAGTGATTCATCCCCCACCCCCTCTTTAGGATCCTTAGGGCTAACTTCAACAAAGCCACCGGAGATGATGAGGCCCTTGAACCCCTTCGTGAACGTTACAATGCGCAGCATTATCGCCTAGTTAAGTTCTACTACGAATGCTCAAACCTGCGGTACCTTACCAGTCTCATCACCATCCCCAAGCTTCCTCAAGATCCTCCCAACCTCTTGGCGGAAGATGACGATGCACCTGCGCTACCCGCGCGACCAAAGCAAGAGATTGAACGAAAGCCATCTCCTCCGCCTGAGCCCAAGAATGACGCCCCTGATGAGATGAATGAATTCTGGAAGAGCGAGTTGGATCGTCAGAACCGAGAGTACGAAGAGCAGCAGCGCATCCTTGAGCAGCAGCAACAACAAGCTCTCATGGCCCAGCAGCAGGCACAGCTTCAGGCTCAGCGTGAATTTGAGCAGCAGCAGCAGCAACTGATGGAGCAGCAACAGCGAGAGCAAGAGGCGCTCATGGCGCAACAAGCGCAATGGCAAACTCAGGGACGACTGGCCGAGCTGGAGCGTGAAAACCTGAATGCGCGCGCTCAGTATGAGCGAGATCAACTGATGCTCCAACAATACGACCAGCGAGTCAAGGCTCTCGAGGGTGAGCTGTCGCACATTCAGAATAGTCTCGGCCAGCAAATGAACAGCAAGGATGACCAGATTCGAGCGCTTCAGGAGCAGGTCAACACATGGAGGACGAAATATGAGGCACTGGCCAAGCTCTACTCTCAGCTGCGACACGAGCATCTCGATCTGCTTCAGAAGTTCAAGGCCGTTCAACTCAAGGCGGCGAGCGCCCAGGAGGCTATCGATCGACGTGAGAAGCTCGAGCGTGAGATCAAGACCAAGAACCTCGAGTTGGCCGACATGATCCGTGAGCGTGACCGCGCCCTTCACGACAAGGACCGCGCGACCGGCAGCGGCAAGGACGAGGTTGAGAAACTCAAGCGCGAACTTCGCCTGGCCCAAGACAAGGCCGATAACCTCGAGCGTAGCAAGGGCAACGAGCTTTCGACAATGCTTGCCAAGTACAACCGTGAAATGGCGGATCTCGAGGAGGCACTGCGCAACAAGACACGACAGCTGGAGGATGCTCAGATGAACCTCCGCGACGGCAGCTCTGACCTCGAACAGCTCCTTCGTGACAAGGAGGAGGAGCTTGAGGTGTACAAGGCGGGTATGGACCAGACCCTCATCGAGCTCAACGAGCTCAAGATGAACCAGGGTGACACCGACCATGCCTTGGATGGCCAGATCGATGCCCTCATCATGTCCAACCTTGACAAGATCAACGACATTATCGACTCTGTTCTCCAGGCTGGTGTTGCGCGTGTGGATGATGCTCTCTACGAGCTGGATTCCAGCATGCAGGCTGGTAACCAGAATGCGTCTCCCTCTTATGTACTGTCACAGATCGAGAAGGCCTCAGCTAGTGCTATGGAATTTGCTACATCGTTCAACAACTTCATCGCAGATGGACCAAATGCGACACATGCCGACCTTATCAAGGCCATCAACGTCTTCTCTGGTGCCATTGCCGATGTCTGCAGCAACACCAAGGGTCTTACCCGTCTAGCTACAGATGATAAGAAGACCGATTCTCTCATGAACGGAACCCGCCAGCCCGCTATCTCAGCTGTACAGTTCCTCCGGGGTCTCCAGAGCTTCCGACTTGAGGGCATGGATCCCTTGCAGAAGACAGACGTGGTCATCAACAGCAACAACGACGTCCAGATGAACTTGCAGAAGCTCAACAAGCTTGTTGAGTCGTTTGCTCCTGGCTTTGGCAAGCTCGCCAATAAGAAGGGAGACCTGGGTGACCTCGTCGACCAGGAGCTCAGCAAAGCTGCAGATGCAATTGCGGCAGCAGCAGCACGACTGGCCAAGCTCAAGAACAAGCCTCGTGATGGCTACTCAACCTATGAGCTCAAGGTGAACGACTCGATCCTGGATGCGGCGACGGCGATCACCAACGCCATTACGCAACTGATTCAGGCGGCGACAGTGACACAGCAGGAGATCGTACAGGCAGGCCGTGGGTCGACGTCACGAACAGCGTTCTACAAGAAGAACAACCGATGGACTGAGGGACTGATCTCTGCCGCCAAGGCTGTGGCGTCGTCGACTAACACCCTGATCGAGACAGCAGATGGAGTCATCTCTGGGCGCAACAGTCCAGAACAGCTCATCGTGGCCTCGAACGATGTGGCGGCGTCGACTGCCCAGCTCGTGGCTGCCAGCAGAGTTAAGGCAGGGTTCATGTCCAAGAGCCAAGAAAAGCTGGAGCAGGCCAGTAAGGCGGTGGGTGCGGCATGTCGAGCACTGGTGCGCCAGGTGCAGAGCTTGATCAAGGAGCGTAGCCAAGAGGAGGACCAGGTGGACTACTCGAAGCTTGGAGCGCACGAGTTCAAGGTGCGAGAGATGGAACAGCAAGTAAGT